TGAAATTGCAGTTTATGGTGGGTCGAAAACGTCGAAGAGACATAATTAAAATCAATGTAGTCAAGACACTCGAAAATTCTATAGAAAAGCTAAAGAACAGGGCGATTTTACACGGGAGAAGAGTGCCGTGTCAAAGAATCGTAAAAAGAGCGCAGAAGGAAAGGATGTGTGAGTGGATGAATAAATACTTCTAATGAGCAGGGAAATTGACGAGCCGTCCAAGGGTACTCGAATACGACGACACTTTATATGTGTACATGCACATACATATCGTGCTGCGTGATATCTTTGTTCCTTGTTAATTTCGAAAAAGACAATATTTTTCACTCCGCCCTCCCAACCCCTCCTTCCTCTCTTGCTCTCTTGCTCTCTTTCTTTGCAGCCGATGAAAACTCCCCACGGAGATATATTGCAAAGGGGGTACTATTGCAAATGAATGAGATAGAATGTGTTGGAGATCAAATCTGTGACAATTTAAATATCAAACGGTCGCCCAACACTCGACGACGGCGGGAGAGCGGGGGAGGGGAGGTATATTGGTGAAAAGAGCACGGATCTCTTGTTGCAAAGCCGATAAGTCGAAATCTGTTTTCTTGTGATTTCAATTGATTCGTGACGTAGCCTTAATTATTATATCTTTTGATTCATCCACCATTGGATTTTTTTTAACTTTAACATTGCGCTAGACAAATTCATAAAGAATTTTTTCTTCTAATCTAAAATAATTTTAAATCCATAAGGTATTTCTATAAATAGTAGGAAAATAAATATTAAGCTTCATAATTATTCAGCAATTTACACTGCTTTTCATGCACCCGTCCTAGTGATAAATTTTTTGCAAGACGATGCAAGAAATCACTCCATTTCATTGGAAATTTTTGTCGTGGGATTACGTATAGATAAGAATTATTTTTAAATATCGTTAGATCAATACAACATTTATAAATTATACGATTATCTGGAATTATTATATAAAATATATGGAATTTATATGGCACGGTATTTGTAGATTTATTTTCACATCTTGGCTATTGATCGAACAGACTTTTGTCTATTTATAAATAGTATTGAATAATTATTTTATTCATTTCAAGAGTGCCGTATACCAGCTATTTTTTATTTGATTTTTGTCAAAATTATAATTTACATTATTCATCTTTCCATGTAACATGCTATAAAATTATAATACATCTAAGGTTAATAATATTAAAAAAAAAAAAAAAAAATACTAAAACCTAAAGTGCAAGCCCCTTGTCTGTAGTGCATTTTTTTAATATTATTGCAAATAATAGAAATATTCAATTTATGTATGGACTTCAAAGCGACACTTTACAATGTTTTTCGCCCTTTTCAATTGATTAAATACATTCGCGTGTTTTTAATTTCTTTCAACAACGTATACAAACGTATACAAAAACGAAATATATATATATATATATATATATATATATATATATATATATATATATATATATATATATTTGCATAAGAATAGTATGCACTCGTGTGTTTTATATAGTAAAGTGACTGATCGATGAGTTTTATTATTTTTGAAAATATATCGTTTTAACTGTGTTTAATGAAGCTTCATCACGAGGTGCTGGAATTGCGCATCATTTTTCAACTGTGATCAATTAATTTACACAAACGCGGATAATTATCCTCTTGCGTAACTAAAATATTTCAGATATTATAAATAACCAATGTTTTTAATCTTACATAATTAATTTGTTGATGATTTTATTTTATCATGTATGAAATTCTGACGCAAGCAGTCAAATCTCTTTACTCGTTTCATCAATTGGGAAATTTTGAAACCTTAGCGATCGATTGTTTTGAGGCTTATAATTTTACTTATATGTTTAAAATGATAAATTTATGTTTTTAAAACAATAGCAAAAGGTGAATAAATAATATTTAGTTGAGTGCAATATACTTGTAAAGCCTATATAATAAACTAAAGCACATCAAATTTGTTTTCATAAAAAACATAAGCAATAATTTTACCTTCAGCATATAAATTAATTTTACTTTTATTCAATTGACAACATATTTTATTCGTTATATATATATATATATATATATATATTTGTTCTATTTTATTAATTGAAAGTATTTTCATTTATATAGCTTATGTAATTTTGTATAATACAAACATTCAATTGCATATTATAGGCAAGGTTTTTACTTTTTTATTATTCCACATTTTCAATATACCGTATAATAATATTGATATTGTTACAATTTCACATAAATTTATGTTATTTATTAAATACAATAAATACTTCAAAGATATTTTTGTCAAAAAAAAAAAAAAAAAAACTGTTATTGTGAAAAAAAACGATATTGTATAGATGTCCTCTCTATTCTCTCCCTCGCTCTCTCTCACTCTCTCTTCCCTCTCCGTAAAAGTATTACTCCAATTTTCAAAACTTATTTTATGACTTTATTTAAATACATTTATAATTTATATTTTTCAGTTATAGTTTATTTCACTTACTTTTTCGAGTTTTTTCCTCAAGAACAATATATATTTTATACTTTATATATTTTTCAATTATAATAAATTAAGTATTCTTAATAAAAAAAACATACCTTAAACTAATAACAATGTCATTCTATATTATTTAAATAGTCAAAATTTATATATGAATTTTTTCCCTCCAAATAATTAATTTATATATATATATATATATATATATATATATATGGCTTTAAAGAAGAAAAATCCAATATAAATAATTTAAGTTAATAATATTTAATATTTAAAAAATACTTGTAAGAATCATCCTCGAATCATTTTTATGAGAACTCCGGGCCTTTTACGTTCGCAGGAACTAATTAGTCTGCTTGCATAATTGAATGCCTTCACTTTACATCTTTTGACCCTTTTTCTTCGCTTCATTTCTTTGCTCCTCGACGTATCTCAATTTGATTCGATTACTGCTCGTATAAATAAAATAAGCTAATTTTTCGCATTTATAATGAATGTCGGAATCCCTAACTCTTTCATTGGCTCTATTACGTTTGTTCGCTTTGCTCGCTTCTTTATTTGTTCTATTTTTGTCAATATCTTTTTGTTTTAATGTTGTCCTCTATTTTATATTGGCTGTTGGAGCAATTCACTATAAAATAAACACAATAGGAATACAGAAATCGGAATAAAGAACAGAAAATTTATATCGACGTACTATCTAGTTGGGAAATTGAATTGTCCACGGAGGAAAGCAGATGAAGTAAGTGAGGTGGCAAGGACGGTGTGAGAGGCGGGTAGATGGGGGTGGAGACATTGAGAGAGAGAGTGAGAGAGAGAGAGAGAGTGAGAGAGAGGGCGAAGAAAAGAGTTACCGATGTCTTAGGTATTAGGGAGGTGGTGGAGTGTGGGGAGTGAGGTGAAGGTACCAAGGGCTGCAAAGTGACGACCTTCCTTAAATCTTCGGACTCGCGAAGGAAGTGCGAAATTCGTAGATAGTTGTCGGTGGTGCAGCGCAAGCACCGGGACTATTTAACGGTCCCGAGAGAGGTGTTATACAAGATCGGCGCGGCTGCGCGCAAATACTCACCTCCGTCCCTCCCCTCCTCTTTCCTCCCAGTAAATTCGCCCCGTATATAAGAGGGCAACCTCTAAAATATTGTCGAAGTTTCGAAAGCTGGGCCACCGGAAACGAAACTCCCGGAAAGCATTGTTCGTCGAAGGCTTGCCCCGGCAACTTCCACCGAATCGCCACATACATTATACTACCGAGTGGCGAAGGGGACACGCTCGGTATCCTTAACTTTGTGCCTCCCTCTCAGGCCTCCGAGCCTTCCTCCTGCCGAGTTCAGCCCATTTTTCAGATTCTTACCGCTCCTTATCCTCTTTGCCTTTTAACTTTTTTATTCAAAAAACCAAACTTTATTCAAACGAATCACCTGGGCCCTCGCTCCCTGACAAAGAGTCCAACATTTCAAGTGAATTTAAACTTCTGAAAATCCCTTGGGAGACGGCGATGGCGGCGCTGTTAGAGATGTTTTTTAAAAGCGATTTTTCTCGATACCGTACCAACTCCTTTTAAGCAGTTGAGCATTCTGAAGAGTTTCCTAATGTTGTTTAAGTTTTTCAAAAATATTTTTAAATATTTACAGAGTAACGATCATTTAATCATAAGATTACATAGCTATCGCAGTTTTATGAATATTTTGTCTCTATATGCTGTGGCTTATTTATAATAATCATTATGATCGTTTATACGATTGATTTTCCTTTAAAATAATCAATTTTCGTGTTTCTAAATTATACGAATTATTTGTTATTTTATGCTTTTTCATAAAGACAGGTCAACAAACTAAGTGCAAGTGAATGTCGACTTGGCCAGAAAATTTTTGCCTACATACTTAATACTCAATTGAACTTTAAGAAATTAAAGATCTATCGGCAAACAAAAAATGATGTCATCCGTCTATGATATTGATACTATAAATATTTCCTTCGCCTTTCTATCCATCAACACTCTCTCGATTCATTTTTAAACCGTCTACATTTCAATAAAATGTATAAACATAATGTTTAAATACCCAATAAATTAATTACCAATCATTATAAAAATCTCATATAATCGTTAATACTCCCTTAACGTTTCCGTCTAATTAAAAGTTTTTAAACTTAGACGATAAACAGCTCTCATCAAGCACCTGAAAAAATGTTTAATTGTCATATAAACAGCAATATGTCTTAAAAATATATTAAATAGTTGATTATCAGCATTGTTAATTTAATGAATTCATATGTGATTTCGAAAATACGTAAAACACGAATCTTACTTATTACATTAGATATTAAATAAAATAATGCTAATCAAATATGACAATCCCGTACGGAAAATTTGTTTAAATATTATAAGGTATTTAACTTAATTTAATATTTATTCTTAAATGCTAGTATCTCAAAAAATAAAATAAAATAAACATTTATAATAATAAAAAAAAAAAAAAAAGCTTGTAATGCTTTATTTTTGTTATAGTATTATGAACAACAATAGCGTGGAGAAGCCAGATCCTGATAATATTAAGATGTTTGTTGGCCAGGTACCTAAAGATATGGACGAGAACGATCTTCGAACTATCTTCGAGGAGTTCGGTCGCGTTCACCAAATCAATGTACTACGTGATAAGTACACAGGCAGCAGTAAAGGTAAGTCATAAGAATAAATAATACGGATTAAAATAAAAGGAATAGAGAATACAGTGAAATTATGAGATAAGTATGACGATATGGATACATCGTTATGATAAAGATGGATAAAAATATCTTGGATCAACGTACTAATGACTAAGCGTAGCGATCAATGAGAATGACGTATGTGCTGCGGGAGATAATCACAAGACTCAACGACATATTAACCACATGGAAGAATGCCGTATAATGTATCTGCCGAAGATCAAATCCCCGCGATCTGCCACATTTTAATCATTGTGTCACTAATATTCTTAGATATTATATATATATATATATATATATATATATATATATATATGTATTGTCTAGCCTCTCATTAATTCATCGTGTTATACGCGATATAATCGGACTATTTTAAGTAAGCCAATTGTCGAGTCACTGGTAAACTAATTTTTTGAGTAAATCTGATTAAGCTATGTTATTTGGAGAAGCCACGATTCAACTTCGAGTAAGCCGATTAACAAACGATTAGCTCTTGTCCATTTAAAACATGCAATGCTTTTTCCAATGTGGTACGCCTTTGCACAGTTCGATTTAGCTTGGGAATCGTCAGCGTAACTCTTGTTATTTTATGAATTGCATTACCGTTTAGTAAAATTCTATTTTTTAATTGAAACTTTCATAATACAAGTTTGAACAACCGAATGATTAGATTATACTTTAATTTCTAATGTATTTTCTAAAATTATATATAACGGTAAGAAATTTTTTATACTAACAGTCAAATAATTGAAATACATATATATGATTGAAAATACGCGCTACCGTAGTGTAGTTGAAGAAATAAAAAGTATGTATAAATATATATAAATATTTATATATAATTCATACTTAGTTTTGTTTTCCAATGTTCTCAGCATCCGTTATATCGTATAAAAAAATATGCATTAATAATGTATATAAAAATTAATAATATATGTATGGGTATATACATGGGCAAGTGTATAATGTGCTCGCGCGCGCTCACGCACACATACTTTTTTTAGTAATAGAACTGTCACATCCATATGTCGCTAAATTGACTTGGATAACAAGAGAAACCGTGAAAATAGACGTTCCATTACAAATAAGAGAGCGCACAAAGATTTTTGCTTATATCATATACATATACTGTTAGATCTGCTATAAAATAATGTCTTTGACTGATATGGAAATAGAAATAAAATATCTTTGTAAATCGCCGAAAAAGAATCTCATAATATTTCATAAACTAATTAATACTAAATAATAAATTTAAATTATATTAAGATTAATATTAAGATTAATAATATATTATTATAGGCAGCTGTAAAGCAATAATACCTTATAAATATATGTTATCGACTCTATACAAATAATATTTGAATTTCCTCCGGGAAATATTACTTTTTTTGTTCGAAGAAACTAACATTATAGGAGTTGAATAATTTTAAACGACAGCTATAAGTATGGGAAAATTAGATGATTTAAATATCGTTGTTGAATTTAATTTTAATTTATAAATATTAATATTAATATTTACTTTGAGTGTTTATGTATTAATTTGGAGATGCTTAACAAAATAAAGAAACAAAATGATAAAATAAATGGCGAAAAGTACAATGAGAAAGTAAAAGTGAGTGCAGAAAGATTGAAAAATTCTTCGCTACTGGAAACACATGGATGCGTTTTCACATACACAAGCTTATAAAAGTCGAGGAAAAGTCGGAGATGGAAAATTGATGGAGAGAAAAGCAAAGCTCATTTTGTTTGCAAGTATATTCGTAAGTTTATTGATCGCAGAGGACAAAACTTGGGTTGTATAAGATCTAGGTAGGCACATCACGACTTCGCGACACTCCACTTTCTCTTATGATCCTTACTGAATGAATCTCTTCTTCATCTCGAACTTACTGGCTTTTCTCTTTTACACAAAATTTACGATGAGCTCCAAGTCACAGTTGACGGGATGTCAAATACACTTACTTAATTGGCGTTCTATGATGCTCTCCTCCAAATCGTGCATATGGAAGATTTCAATTGGAATTATTCCAACGAAATACGTATTTCATTAAAATATGTGAAATATTCATATAAAATTCAGGAATAAAAATATTAACATTTAATATACTATAAAACATCAAATAATTTGAGGATATAGGTGTAAAATATAAAAATGAAAATAGAAATAAACAGAAGTATTTTAATTTTATAATTTAAATGTATAAATATATACTGGCCAACCAATTGAATCAATCTATGTTGTCAATTACTTTTATATAATTTATTAATGCGTCTATGACTATTTAAGGAAAGGTATATACAACATTTTACCATTAAATAGCACTACATTTCACTACAATTACAAACTTATAGTTTTAGTTTATAAAATTCATCGGGTTTACAATTCATATTTCAAAACATTAGTCAATTTCTCATTCTCAAATTCAATATTTATATAATGATATGACGAAATAATAATATATCCAGATATTATTAATTCACTCGGTATATTCCTTATATTAGTAATCCGTAAGAGAGAGAGAGAGAGAGAGAGAGAGAGAGAGAGAGAGAGAGAGAGAGAGAGGGAGAGGGAGGGAGGGAGAGAGAGCAAGAATAAATAAAAATTTGATGGTAATTAATTATGAATAATACAAAGTATATAAGAAAATAGGATTTATAAATATTAAAAAATTCGTTTCACATAATAGAGGAAAGATTATTATTCAATGTGTTTCACTAGTTGCGCAACTGAATAGAATAACTGAAAATTATATTAATTTTCCCAATGATTTATTTAAATAAGATTATTGCGCATGCATTTTCATTTTAATAGACTTTAATAAATTAATTATTAAAAAAATTCAATTTCGAATTATTTCAAGCTTTTGTTGGGCGACTCTATATTGTTGTATGCTACTTTAAACAATTAAAATAAATTGCAATATGGTTATAGAAATTTTTGCAAGCTACTTTCATCGAAATATTTTAGCCTCTCGTATAACGTAGTATTATTTTTCGATTAATATATAATCAGATTTTACGCTTAATAAAAACACAGTACAATTAGTGATTCAACTTTGTATGAATGAAAAATAAATTATGGCTATATAATCTATTTAGCCATTAAAAATTAAATGCAAATGTGCGAGACTTGTTGTTCATTGAAGATTAATAAGAATTAAATTCAAAATGTTTAAAACAAATAGAAGAAGATATTACCTCCATTGATTGAATTGCTTTTAATATTTCGTTTTATAATTGAGACGAGTAAGTTAACATTAACATTCTTTACTTTATGCGCGTATTGAAAATTGATATTATTAATATTACCGACATTGGCAATATAAGTGTTTGAATATTAATGAACTTTGATAGATAATGCGATAGTATACTATCGAGATTTAGATTTCCTCTTTAATAAAGATTTTATATCATTTATTTTCTCAAATACTTTATATTGTATAACTTCATGAAAAATTAAAGACTCAATTTTCGTCATGGGTATTGAAAAATATTTAATTATAAATTAATTGTTATAATTTGCAATTGATTGATTTTGTTAACGCTATCGTTGAACAAATATATTTTAAATATATGTAAAGTATAATCAATAATAAAAGATAGAAAAAATTTCATTAAATATTTCAGAATAGCCGGATATAAAAATTCGTGAATCATTCTAATCTTTTAATGAAAAAAAAAAGAAAAAATTTATCAAGTAATTTTTTATAATCGAATATATCCAAATATTAATATTATTCCTCGCAATAATAACAATAATAATAATAAATTATTTTAGTAATGCATGTAATTTTCTCCATAATAGTAATATGATTGCATATTTATAATAGCATTAATATTTTAAATGATTCAATAATATAGTAAATGAATTGCGCATATGAATAGGAATTAATTAAATACAAAATGTTCATGCTCGATCAATATAAAATAGAATAAAGACTTGGTGACTAAAGGAAGTTCCTCAAACGTCTGTAGCATTAATAACTCGACTGGAATCCCTTTTAATCCTATCAATATGCAGATTCTTTGCGAAGGTAATATTTGCAAAGTAATCCGGTCACTATCAACAACGAGATCTGTTTTCCAATGGACTTATTATTTTAATGCTTTAAAATCTCAAGCAAAAAAATCAATGAAACATTATCACCAAGAGCCTAAATAACATAATTATAATATCATAATATTAGGATAATACAATTTTACTTTTATTATACTATGCCGTACTCGCTAATTGTTCGATATTTTATCGAATTTGTGATTTAATACGATCGAGAATAATGGAATAATTGTATTTTAAATATAGGAAATTCATCATGCTATAATGAAATATAAAATAACTATCGAATGTCAAGTGAGAGTTTGTCGATTATAGTTGAATATTTTATGCTTGAAAAATAGAGGATTCGTGATTATTTCAATTTTTATCTTACATTAAGTCGATGAGAAAACGTGAAAAATATGAAATTAAATTTTACGTACGGATAAATGAAATTGAGTATATTCAATTTATTTATAATAGAAAGAGATTTTCCTATAAAAAGCAAAATGACGAATTTAATATGTAAATGCTAATGGTATGAGTGATAATATCCGTATTTAATAATTGCAAATGTTCAAAAATTTTTTAGCAGACAGATTATGAATTACATATTTAGTTATGAATCTTTAAGAAAAAGAGATATAATTTTTATCAAAGATTATGCTCACATTAAACAATATTCATTAAGTCATATATTGTTGAAGTTTTTTCATAAAATTTTGTTATTTTAAATTCTGTATATTCTAATTTCATATGGTGATTATTATGAATTTTAATTTAAAAAAAAAAATAACAATAATAATAATAATTGCAAATTTGAAATTCTACAAGCTACTTTGGTGCTATTTAAATATCAAGTTTCTATTCAAAATATTCAAGCGCAATGTTAAAATAATATTCTACGAATATGTAGTTCCTGAATCTACGTAAATTT